AGCTAAATCAGTGTTGTACAAATGACATGTAAACAAACCGACTGACGTTTTTACAGGAAATAGCGCTTTTTGCGTTCCTATGCACTTCTGCATCTGTTCTCCTTTTACTCTCATTTGAGAGAGTAAAATTGTAGTTTGACAGTTCCACAGGTTTTAGTCCGAAGTTCAAAGGAACAGACTAATTCTATCATTCTTGCTGTGGACCTATCGAACTGAAATATTTAGTCTGTTCCTTTGAATTTGGCTGAAATATCACTAAATAATTATTAAAATCTATACATATTTAAATATTTCGTTGTTTACTTCCATTTTTTACAAATATAAGGTTCTTTGCTTTCGCCGCTTTCTGTTTTTGTTTGCACATGCAAAACAGCTGATCGTTTGACACTTTTCATGAACTTACAGGAAAAGAAACTCCGGACTAAATCCTGTAACTTCTGACTAGGAACAGTTGCTCAGTTACTCTCTCAAATGTGTTCCCACTTACAGGTTTTATGTCAATAGGAACGACTTCCTGTAAGTTCTGACTAAATCCTGTAAACCGGGCTGCTATTGGAACAGACTAAATTATGTAAATGCAAAGATGGCCGCCGCCGCAAAATAGCGGATTTAATATTTTTCCACAACCCTCTAAAAATGGGCATCAAATTAATGGACTTGACAAATAGAAAATAGAATGCAGTACACTATGAAAAAATTCAAAGTCCAAGATGGCCGCCACCACAAAATGGCGGATTACATTTTTTTCTATCCGCTCAATGTGGCTATAGGAAAACAATTAATTCTATTTTTTGAGCAAAACATTAAGTCCAAAAAATATTTTTTACAGCTGAGTGGTCTAATACGAATAAAACTTAATGCAGGTTACAGTCCGTTTAACATAGATTGTGGTGGTCTATGATAAAGGACTTATACTGAGTTTAAGCGGGCTTTACAAGGTCATGCAATTTTACAGTGTTCCACTATTGATTCTACGGGTTTGTGAACATTTTGGGTAAACGAATTTTTACACAAATATTAATTGTACGTATTAAATTTTTAAGTGTTTTCCATTCCATGATAATCGTCAATATAAACAAACACTACTTAAAACAATAGTTAATTAACAATGAAAATATAATAAAAAGAAACTTAAATTGATATTTATTTTAGCCGCTTAAACAATCACATTTTAAAATAAATAAAATTCAGTTTAGCTCCATATGGCAAAAGCTTAGAAATATTGATGTACGTACATATGTATATATATCTGTGCATACATAAATAATAAATAAAAGTTATTTTGAGTCCCCTCACACCCATACACAGTATCATACGATTAAGCTCAAGCGTACTGCAGCCAACATATGATACCATAAAAACAATAACAAATACTATTTCACTATCAATATATATCTAAATATACATATGTGTACATAATCTATATACATGTTTTTGCCAACTGCTTATCAATTAGCATATTATTTTGCATTCTCGCTACTTTCAGTTGCTGCCGGCAAGCCATTGAACGCTCAGTGATTTGAGGCGAGTCAAACAGAGAGGACATATAAAATTAAACCGGCAGACAATTAGCGCAGTCCTATCAAAATGCTCTCTAAAGTCTTCCGTATGGTAATCCTAGGCGCACCCGCCTCGGGCAAAGGTACAATCTCCAAACGCATTGTGGAAAAATTCGGTTTCGTGCACATTTCTCCAGGTGATATGCTACGATTAAATGTACTACATGCCACCGATATCGGCAAAAAGGCGAAAAAGTACATGGATGAGGGCAAATTGGTACCGGATGAAATAGTCATGAAATGTGTGCTGAGTCGCATAACCGAGGTGGGTAACAAATCATGGATGTTGGATGGATTTCCACGCACACTCGCACAAGCTGAACGATTGGCGGCCAGCGAACCGCTGCATGCGGTAATAAATTTGGATGTGCCAAACGATGTGATTATAGAACGAGTGAAAGGACGTTGGATACACTTGCCATCGGGACGTGTGTACAATGTGGGCTTCAACGATCCCAAGGTGCCGGGTAAGGATGATGTGACGGGCGAGGATTTGGTGCAGCGTGATGATGATAAGCCAGAAGTGGTCGCACAACGGCTGCAAGTGTACGAAGAGATGTTACGCCCAGTTATGGACTACTATCAGAAACAAGATTTGATCACCAATTTCAAGGGACGCACCACAGCGGAAATATGGCCACAGGTAGAGAAATTTTTGTTGGAAAAAACCAGGGCAGCGATGGCGAAAAGGCTGTAGAACAGCTGAAGAAAAGTGTAATTATGTATGTAGCTTGAGTGTTTGCACAAAGCCCGTTTACTTACTTAAAATAAAAAAACGTGAAATCAAGAACAATAATTGTAACATTTTTGCTAAAAAAAATGTATTTTTATTGTCATTTAAACAGCGATAAATATGTATGTAGATTTAGCGCAAAATATCATTTTTTTTTTAATTGTAGGAGTGTATGTTTATTGTAAGCCATAAATAGTCGTGTTGTTGAAATTGAACAATAACTATATATAAAAAGTTTACACCACGTATATACATATGTATGTAGATTTACATAAAAACAATAAAGTAGAGAAAAATAACGCCTTCGACTGCTTAATAGACTGCTGCTTATAATTGAATTAACTGGTTTTAATTGTAATTTAGGTTTGGCTCATGCCGGCAGCAATTGATGCTAATAAAACTAATCAATTACTACTCCATATGTACGCATTCGTCTCACTTTAAGCACTTTCGTAAATAAAGTCATATGCGATGCATGAATGTAAGGAAAAAAGTATGTGCCTAATTTTAATTAAGCGCTGATAAGGTTTCACCATATTAGCGCCAGCCAATCACGACAGCTGCTACGAACAGCCACCATGCATTCATCTATCCATTTCTACCCAGCGAATTGGTTAAGTCCTTTAAAGCCTAATAAACTGGTAGCTCTATTATGAGGCTATTTAGAAAGTGAAATTGTAACCGTATGCAGCACTCACTCCACAAAGTAGCACGCATGCAGGTATAAACTAAATTAAATGAATCATAAATAAATTGTGTGGATTTTTTGATAAGTCAAGCATAGTTAATACCTGACGATTGCTAAATTTGCTTAGTGGAGATAACATTTTTAAATGAGCCGTAACGCGTTTGTTATAAATCTGGCACTCTGGTGCTTTATCTGATTGATAACATCTCTTCTTTCTTTAAAGTTCTTTTCCATGATACATCGATTGAATGCGTGAAAGCGATGTCGAAATCAATTACCAATTAAAAGGTAAGTGGAAACAACATACACACAAGATGGTGGGGAATCGCAAGTTCAAAGTGCGAGTCACATTGACGTATGTACATTTTGTACATACATACATACATACATGTACGCATTCACCTTCAATAGCAGCTTTTGAATAAAGACGGGATTGGAAAAGCTTATCAGCAGATGTATTTTCGTACATGATAACAATACATTTGTTTATATTGTTGTTGTTGTTGTTGCTTACTTAGCTTGGTTATAGCTGCAGCTGGTTGTTTTTTGTTTTCATAACAAAGGTCACATAAAATATGTATATCTATTTATTGATAAGTATTATTCGTAGGTTACTCAACCTTAGAATAATTACAGAACTAAAAATAAGTAAATATTTAATTTTGCATCTGTTCTCATATTTAACATACATACGTAAAACATCACCTTTTAAAGCGAAAACAAAAAACAGTATATACTAGAATGGACGCGTGAGTGATTTTGGCTCATGTTCACGCACGCCTACGTTGATGGTTTTGTAAATCAAGCACCCTCACGTTCTGTTATATTTTTTTCAATCACGTTCACGCACGCTCACGCACGCTTTTTGACGGATTAAAACTCTATATAAATAGCATTTCACATAAAAAGGCTTTAGGTATTGCAACAAAAGCTTGGCCAAACGCCTTACCTGGGATGAACGCACTATCAATTTTTTTACGAATTTCATAGAAAAGAATTCTCATAGATATTCATTCAATGCAATTTTAAAACACAGTAGCTCATATATTTGTTTAAAAATACAATTTTGTCGAACAATGGTGTATGTCCAAGGCGAATTTAATTAGGTGGTGTTGGGGCGACAACTTAATTTTTCACCATGGAGACCATAACGCCAAAATGATGTGTTTTTGTAATTCCTATTGCCATTGTCCGTACAATTTGTTACATAGTGTACTTTTTTTGCTTTTATATGGGTAACACCACCTTATTATATTCGCCTTGTGCACGCCTTTCTTCTAGAATTCTGCCTGACACAGAAAAAACTCTTTCAATAGTGGCTGAGCTAACTGTTATGTTTAAAATTTGCCTTGAAAAGCTTCTAAGAAAAGGAAAATCTTTAGCTTTCTCCCAAAATTTCAAAATATCGTCACAACTTTTGTTTTCTGAGTAAAAATTTCAGTCACGCACGATTACGGAAGTTACGTGATTTTTCTACAAAAACACCTCACGCGCACTAGTGAAAAAGCGATTTTCACGTAGAAAATCACGTGGTTTGTCCATCTCTAGTATATGTATGTATACTGCAGTAACCTACAAGGAAGATTTCTAGCAAAAATTTGGCTGGCTTTAGAGTACAACTAAGCCAGGGAATATAAAACTTAAACCATATACATATATTTGGAACGGTTTCCATGGTATTACTTCTTGTTGTTGTTCTTGCTTTTGTTACTGTAGCTGCACTACTAAGCCCTGCCTAGTTCAAATAGTTTAGCAATCGTTGATTAAGGTCAGCTCAAGATGGGTCCACGAAACGTGCTGCTTCGAAGGAGTCTGAATAACGATTAAGCGATATTAATTAATTGAGTTAAAGGGGGCAAGTGAAGAGGTGATTGGATTTTGATCAAATGCGATCATCTTAAGCGCAAAGGAAGCAAGGAAAGCAATCTGTATTATCTTACTTTTTGGCTCTTATTTTGTTCTTAATTCTGGTTTTATTGGCTTTTTTACTCGTTAAACTCGTATACTTGCGCCTGTTCTTTAGTTGAGTTCTATGTATAAAAAAATTGATCAGAATTGTCCTTTTAAAATATGTATATATATCCCGCACTGACATGGAACTTTTTTCCTACTGTACTTTTGTAACACTACAAACGTGTAAGATGATATTCAATAACGAAGTGGTCGACGGATTACGAAAGCACTTGGTAGATATCTTTAACACAGGCGGTGCAAACAATCTACGAAAGAAATTCTGGATTTATGCGGTTCCTTCGACGACAGGCATTTTTTTAAATGGCAAAAAATTTTTTGTCATTTCAATGCCTAGTGGAAATTCGGCATAAGTGAACGAAAAACCTTTTGACCAGATACGATTTTTAAAGATGTTGTCAATTATTTTTTTTTTTAACGAAACAGATCCAGAAACAATTGCCTAATACTGCATAAAATTATCTTCCAAAAGCTTCCCAGTTTGTAAGTTGGGGGTTTAACGAACATTCTCATATTTGACGCCAAAAAAGGTACAAGGGAATTTCATTTCCTCTTTAAACTGTAAACAGGATAAAATTTAAAAACTCAAAAAAAAACGACCAAAATTCTTTGGCTAAAGACTATGGCACAATAATCCCACCATGAAAGAACCCATACAACAAACCGGAAATGTGTAGGGTGACATTCAGTGTTGCCACAGAATTTTTTTATTTTTTACCAAAATAACCGAAAAAAGTTACCAATTTGAACAAAAAATTACCAAACTTATTTTATGTGCAGAACTGTAAAAACATA